CACGAATGGGAAAGCGAAGGAGAGGAAGACCAAAGAAAAGATGGAGAGATGATATAACTACATATATGGGAACAGCGACTTGGACTAGGACAGCCAGAAACAGAAGTGATTGGAAACGTCATGAGGAGGGCTTCATTCGACAGCGGATGGACGTAGCCTGATAGATAGATAGATAGATAGACACCGGTGTCAAATGAAAATACAACTCCTATGAAAATCTGACTCTTTTCCCTTTTATTGGTTAATCCCTCACATGTGACAGGTCACTCTCCCATTATGATCCTAAAAATAGCATATTATCGTACTTACGCATGCGCAATACTACCAATGAGTCAATATTTGATGGAGTCGCATATTCACGCTACACTGGCATGAACATATATGGAAAATGTATAAAGTTTGCGCGTAAAACAAAGCCACATGACATTCGCGCATCTGGCCAGGCCGCATGACGCAGCCCGTTTTGTTCACAGAATTTACAACATAAAGCAATTGACCTATCGCGGTACAATCGCATTAGAATTGCGTCAACGCGGTTTGTGAAATATTGTCCAATTACATGATATACAAAATGGACGCGGAACGCGCAACATCTGAGACAGACAAAACTTTAATATAGTGTACAAAAACTCCATAGGGTTGTCTAAGGGGCGTGACCCATTCGCGAACGGCGATAGGTCAATTAATGTCGTGTCTAGGTTTTATTTTGTATGCCTTGCATGGGACACACAGCGTACGCACACTGTACTGTCCTGGTTTGCGTGTGAAGTACGCACAATTTCCTGTATGTGCAAAAGTAATAGCCACCGCGTCTTCGCATGAGCGTCAGGCGTTGTTGGTGCGTGAATGCGTTCGAATTCAACTTGAGATGGTCGCTGAGACTAATCCCTGCCGCCAATAACTTTGGATACATTCAAAATATGCAGTGGATGGATCAGGAACCAGTCTAGGTCACCCCCGCCTCTCCTTTTCTGGCCAGAGATGGGGTACTTGTGCATGGAGCCATAGAAACACTGAACCATAATGTTGGCACATTATACACAATCAATCGACCAGCCCACAGACACACAAAGCAGCATCAGTTATATGGGAAGTTATGATCCATTCTACACCCAACTTCCAATACAGGAGTTCCGGAACACGAAAACACATGCCAATGATTCCAATGTTGTTGGATATCAAACCTTAAATTGAGTGGTCGGGCACAACCCGACCACTCTTTGGATTTGTTGCGATTAATCTTTCTTTCTTTCTTTCTTTTTTTCTTCTTCTGCATAGCACGTTCGCGGGTTTTCTCCTAAACGGTATATGATATGAACTTGTAACTTTTAACATATATTGACCCTCATTCCGAGTGGTGCATGTTACACTGACGTCATTATGACGTCATCGGGTGTCAAATTACAAGCGATTTTCGTTGAAAAAATGACGATCTCCTTTCATCTATAACTCTTCAACAAAATGATCAATTAAGCTCCAACGTTGTAATCAGATAGACCATAAATTGATAAACATTTTTTGTCGTGTACGTAATCTCGCTTGACCTTTACTTATGGGTCTACCAGAAGGTCAAATTTAGGTGAATTCAAATGAATACATTAGCCTGAAATTGAAACAAAGCACAATTTCTTCCAAACTGTTTACGGTATGATCATAACACCTAGTGTGAACATGTACCATGTTACGAAGATGTTATAACTGTTGTTACGTTATCATGACGTCATCAGGTATCAAATTACAAGCGATTTGATTGCACGATTTGACAAAATACTTTGACCTATATCTCTTGAACTAAATAGAGTATCGTGTTCGTTTTTTCGTGAGGTTGTAGACGGTGCCTAAAGCAACATTTCTTATTCCCGGGCACAAAACTGCTTGACCTTTACTTCTGGTGTTACCGGAAGTACAATAGAAACTGAATCTAACTCTTAAACGGAAGCATTTTACTACAGACAAATACATTATGGAGGAATGCCAATCACAAAAACATTATTTTGACATCATCCACAAAAGGGCGCCCTCCAGCAGCACATAGAAAACAGTTGAATTTGTTTTTAATGTTAAAGCCCTCAATCAAATTTGTATGATATATTGCCCTTATCTATCCCGTGAGTAACCACAAATGAATTTGTACGGTTTCATAATCATGACTTCATCAGACCGGAAGTTACTGTAGGGAGAATTCAACAATGACCATTTTATTTTTTAATTTCAATCCATCATTTGATCCCTATCACATGAGTTTGTTTTTTGCCCCCCCAAAATGACATCTGCTACACTTAATATTGACCTTTTGCTTCCAAATACTGTGACGTCATCAAACTGGAAGTTAGCTGTTTTTATTACATACACTTAATTTCCATATTTCCATGCGTTATTTTTACTTAATGATAAACAAGTGTCCTCCCTTCCCTGTTTTGACTGATGACGCCATCAAACCGGAAATAACTTGTACGTGTACCCAACTGTTTACTGAAATTTATCATACCTTAAAAGACGCATTCTTTTTGTACAAAATAATTGGTACTGGAAATGTTGAAGTTCTTGGTCCTTTTTTTTCTGACATAAACATACTCATAACTTAACTGGACAATGTCTAATGAAATGGTTGTCTACCCGACCACTCTGCATTTGTAACAACAAACGCGAACCTCTAGTTCCATATATTCTACTAGGATAAATTCGAAATTTTGGTTTAGTCGTTAACGTAATTCCAGTTTTCTGCTAGTAGAAATTCACAGTTTGTACACTTCTTGACCACCTTTGTACAACAAAAATAAAAATCCAAATCTTATTCGTTGATAACGGAAAAATGAAAATTCAGAAAGAGGACTCCATTTCAACCATAATTCTGTTTTTGTTCTAGCAGATTTTTGAGAAAATGAGTTGTCCACTTTTGGTCCTCCATACGTTAGCAACATGCAGTCAATGCGAACTTGTGCGTGATCTACTTGCAACCCATGCGAAGTGTCACACTAGCGGACAGGTAAATTCTAACATAAGGAGTGATCAATTTGCAGCCAGTGCAAAGTGTCACTCGCTCGGTACGGCACAAGTCACTTTCTCATAGCCATGTTATAGTTGTGTTTGGGTGCTAGCAGCCTGCAGCAAATGCCAATCCCCACTTGTTCGGTATGGCGTGAGTTACTTGCAGCCTGTGCAAAGCCTCATGCAAACGGCTGGGTAAATAGCCACGTAACGGAAGTCTGCAATTTGCAGTCTGGGCAAAACCTCACTCAGCTAGAGCCGTAAGTACTGACAACCAACCAAAACTCAGCAAATTGGGGAAACAAACAGATGGTAGTTTTATTAGTAGAACTTAGCAGAGAAAAACACATATTTTTCCTGTAGTGCAGGCTGAGAGAAATTGGGAGTATAATGGTGGGCGGCCTGCCCACCATTATACTGTGGGAAATAAAATCTGACCAAAAATTAATGGCTAGCAAGGTACTGTCAGGGTTCTCCCCACGTACAAACGTGCGTATCGGCCCGATACGCTGGAATTGCGGCCCGACACGCCGACAAAAATGCCGATCACATTTTTCAGCCCCCGATACGCACAATATAATTATTATACAAGCCATTAAAATGCACAACATAATCGTTTCATACACCATTATTTCATCTTGACATGCAAAATCTTGACAAAAATCCCGCATTTCTGATGCATGCGTGATCAAAATGCACACGATGACGGGTCTTTCGCGTCAACCGCCAGCTATATATTAGCGCATACAGCACGGTACACTGGTTCCCTTCGCGTGCTAACAGTATCAATGCTATGATGAAGGACCGGAACCAGTGACTACTGCCTCGTGCGTGCATACATGATGATGATGTCGGCCGAAGTTGGATCGTAAAAACACCAAACAAACATCGATGGAGAAAGAGAATTTCTGCAAATTAATTCACAGAACGTGATCTTTATTTTCTGTGTATGTATTTTCCATTAAAATGACGAGATTGCAAAGCTCAAACTTGTGGCGAAACATCGTAGCGTGCTTCTTAGAAGCAGTAGGGCCGTACACAGTGCAGTAATTCACACTGATACTGCGCGATGCACGGCCGGCCAGACTGAATGTTGGCAGTGCCAGGGGCCGTGATCGATGTACGTTAAGCATAGTGGAATCAACCTCCTCAAATATATTTTTAATTAGGTGAGGCAAGTTTTAATCACTTCTGATGGTCAGTCTTGATAATTTTCGTGGTGCAAAGGAAAATAATCCATGCACAAAACTACATGATTCCTTGTTCAATATGCTCCATTCAATCATGTGTTTTTATTCCTCCATGATTCAATCAGCAGCCCAAAAAAATGGCGAAATAATTTTTCCGACCTACCGACGCTATTTTGAAAGCCATGTAGTCGGAAGCAAAAGTGATTTTTTTCTTCACCTTAATTTCTTAATTTGAAACTTGCTTGTAAATATAATCCATACTTTCTAGATCAAGAAGGTTTAACACAGGTTTTGAAATGTTGATTTTTTTTTTTAAGTTAAAAACGTTGATTTTTTTTTCTCTAATTACAAAAAATATCACAAGATCTCCTCTAAATTTTAAGGAAAAATATTCCTTAAAGACTCCCCAGATTTGCTCTAAAATGCACCAGAGAGCCTCTAAAGTTCAAAATTTTTCGGGGCCCTTAAGCGGGCCCGAACCCCACGCCGTGGCTTCGCAGGTTGGTGAATCACAACAAAACTTCCCCCACAGGTTTGAAAAAATCCTAGGGAGAACCCTGTACTGTGGTAATTAAATCTTAGCAAATGGTTAACACCCTCAAGGGAATAATGCATATGTAGTAATTCTGTACGGGTGAGACAAGTGCAATAGAAAAGGTATTTGGACCTTTTGCAACAAAGCTAAGAATTGCCTTGAAAGTGTGTATATATCATATCATCCAGGCACAAAGTCCTTAGTCTACTACCACAATACCCAAACATTTAAGTTTGATTTCATAGTCCTTCGGAATACATTGAAGGTTTTCTCAAGAGCAAACTTACCATTTCTGGTGGTCTCCCTTGCAATCCACTGCGTGACGTTGTGTGATCATGTGACAAATGCATTGTCATTAGCCTTGAAGGAACAAAATGACAACATTAAAAGGGTTTTAATGAGTACAAACAAAAACTAGCAGATGCTGTATTTAGGGAAGATACAACATTTACTTTTGCTGTAATTTTCAGAAATTCATGGATTTTGGGGTTAGTATTCTTACAGCAAATATTTTTACACTGACCTGTTTAAAGTTTTGTGTTCGTAGATGCTAGAAAAACCAAGAACAAAACTTATGTTCTTGTAAAAGTTGTCTTGTGGACGCAGGAAAATTGTAAAGTTAGGGAACCGGTCTAGCTGGCACATACAAATACAAAACAAATACAAAACTGATGGTAGACAAAATGTGGACTAAATTTGGTTAATTGGAGGCAGTATTTGAAAAAAAAGCCACCTTTATCCAACACTGGTCGACTGACCATCATTTGAAATTGATACAAAAATGTCACCTTTCGTGAAAATGACAGCACACCTGGTGCCATGATTTAACTGGATGCTTCAGACTGTCATTCACTAACAGTCCAGTAAGGTTATTTCACAATGATTTGGTGTGTATTTTTTAACATTTGCCAATGTTAAAAATGAAAAAAGTAAGACTACTGCAAACTGCTTACTGACTGGATGGACCTGAAATATATAAATCTTAAAATTAATGTGGCCTGACGTTGCGAACTAAGCAAGTTCTTCTTCAGAGGCTAAAACAGAAATGACAGAGGTACATACATTAACATGGGGGTGTACACAAACATGCAGGGCTGAAAGAAGAAACACAAAAGGAGGATTAGTTGGGAAAGGTGTGGAAAGATGCAGGGGAGGGTGGATGAGAGAACAAAGAAACAAAGGGAGATGGCAAACCACAAGGGGTCTGGTATAGACAGGGGAGGGACCAGAAAGGGGAAGGATCAAAGGTCACATGGAGTGGGAACGGACAAAAGAGTGTGAGAGTGAAGGGGATGATGCGGGGGGGGGGGGGGGGGGGGGGAACAGTATGGAGGTGGAAAGGGATGAAAGGTGGGGGAAGATGGGTAAACACAAACAAGGAAGACCAGGAGGATTATCTGTAACAGAAGACAATGGAGGAAGAAAAGGATTAATCATTTCCAAGTTGGATGTTGAGACCATGTGGTTGAATAGTTCGAAGACGATTCATCCACACTTTCTCTCTGCTGAGGCGAATTGAGTCCTTGCGATGGCCAAGAGATTCAATGCCCTGCAAAATCATATAAGAAATGAAGTGGTTAGGCAGGTTGAAGTGATGACCAACAGGGGTGTCTAGTTTCTTGGTGTTGACCGTTGACCGGTGGGCATAGAAACGCTTCTTGAGCGTATTCTTAGTCTCACCTACATACTGCACTCCACAGACCCTGCAAGAAATGAGATATATGACATTAGAGGTGTTACAAGTGATGTTACCAATGGTTCTGTGGGTAGTGACAGAAGAGTGGCCCCTGCATCTTTCCACACCTTTCCCACCTAATCCTCCTTTTGTGTTTCTTCTTTCAGCCCTGCATATTTGAGTACACCCCCATGTTAATGTAGGTACCTCTGTCATTTCTGTTTTAGCCTCTGAAGAAGAACTTGCTAAGTTTGCAACGTCAGGCCACATTAATTTTTAGATTTGCAAATGTTGTATATTGCCTTTAACAATTAACACTTCCCAATTTTGACTGTCTATAATTAGGTGTTGGGCTATTGCTATTGGGCACCTATTGCTATTGTACGAATTTACTAATTGCTTTTCCACTTAAAAGCGGAAAAGCATTGTTCTTGTTCTGATTTTTTTTTCTTCTTTTTTTTACCTTTTGTTCCTACCCCAAATCCCATAGACTTTGTACACGTTTATTCACTGCGGCATTTTGGACCTAAAACAAACTCGTATTCTAATGAAACTTGTCCCATGTAAAGACCCCATAGTGACATTGTGTCCCAAAGAGTGACATAACGATGACGTCATCATGGGTCACGTGACGTCATCTTAAATGTGCAAACTTTAAGACCCTATATCTAGAGAACCGTAAGTCCAATTGGGTTGAAACTCGGTAGGTAGACCGGGATGTGTTATAGACGAAAATTGAGGTGACGTCATCATGACGTCATTGTGTGATTTTATATAGATTTTTTGAAGCTTTGGATCTTTAAGCCATATCTCACGAACCCAATATGTTAAATTCAAAATTCTTTTTGTATTAGGTTTTTTAGGTAACAGGGATATGTACAACATTTTGAAAAATGTCTGACGTCATGATGACGTCATCATAAATGCGCTTTTTTGAAACATATAAGGGAACGTCTGATCGTCATTAGACTTGGTGGGTGGGTAGATAATAATACTAGTACACAAAATCTTGAATGACGTCATAATGACGTCATCGGTAGATTTTTTTACGATTTTTTTAATATTGCCAATTTTTTTCTGCTTACAAAATTTAACACTTTATCAATCCGATTGTTTACAAACTTGGTACAGACTAAAACCACACTAAAATAATGAGCACTGCCAAGTATTGTTACGATGACGTCATCATTAGACATAAGGCGTCATTGTTAACTTGTATATTTTAAGTTCTTATATATCTCATGAACAGTCAGATTTGGTTGAAACTTGGTATGGGGGTACGCTGGGATGTGTTACAAATAAATATTGACGTGACATCATCATGACGTCATCTTGTGATTTTATATACATTGGCTATATATATATATTTTAAAATTTTTAAGACTTTTGTCGTATCTCACAAACGCAATATTCCAAAATTAAAATTCTTTTTGGATTAGGTTTGTTAGACAAAAGGTAAATGCACACAGTTTTGCACAAAACAGAAAAACATGACCTCAGTTTAAAAAAAAAACATAATGCGGAAAAAGCCGTATATTCTGTTGGAAACAGACATAGACCTCTAGTTTGTTTTTGTTATTCTTCAAGACAAATTCTTCTCCAGAACTGTTTGTCAAAATAAAAACCTATGAACTTTAATTGTCAATACATGAATGCACAGCCCACTTAAGATGTACTTTTTTGTTATAACGTCATGACAACGTCATCAAGTATCAAATTACAAGCAATTAAAGATTTCTAGATTTAATCACTGAAATTCAATATAAAATCAACCATGAGAGGCCGGAACTTGAATTTAATGGAATTAATATGATAATACATTATCTTCATTTTATCTTGTGCGCATCAAATCATGTGACACGTCCTTCTGGTCGAAACCGGAAGTGCATAATAATTTAAAATTGTAAAAAGACGTGAACTTGCTTTCAACAATGTTAGTCTCTGCCAATGTTGAAATTCACCAAAACATTATCGATTATGAGATGTTCGAGCGCCCTCTAGCGACAGGTTACAAATGTCAAAAACACATTTTCAGTTGATGTGTGTGGCGAAATTTGCGGTTATTGCTTCCAATTCGTATATATGATGACCTTAATGCAGACAACACCTGAGCGCAAAAAAACTTGATGAAGTCATCAGACCAAAAGTTATAATAAAAAGACCCTTTCAACTTAAACAAATTGCTGAAAATCAACCCTGACAGATGTAATGAAGGTTTGGCTATAAATAGCACATTTAACATGGATCTTGAGCTTTCTGGCAATGCCGTCATGATGACGTCATCAAGTATCATAATACAAGCAACCAAAGATTTCTAGATTTCATCTTTGAAAATCAATATAAAATCAACTGTTTTTAAAGCTTTGTTGTTGTTTTGTATGGCAATCGATACAATATTGCAGGGTCTTCATTTTTGGTATTAAGTGCAAAATCACAAGACCCTTCCTTCTGGTCGAAACAGGAAGTGCCTATTGTGTGTGTCTGGTTTTACGACTGTTTCATATTTACTTTTGAGTCGCATGTAACGGCTGTTTGATGAACCAATCAAATTATTAAGTGTTTACTAGTGTTTTGTACATATGACAACTTGTTGACGGAAGCACATTTTTGATTTTGGATGATGTCATATGAGACTCAACAGTTGGGCTGGCAAAAGAGCCCAAATGGGCTTTTTTTTTTATAGTCTGGGATCCAGACCCCTAAAAATGAGTTAACCCTACACAATTCCCTCCCCACAAAATTTTTACATTTTTTTACGCAGTAAGACCTGCTGATTCAGAATCTGGACGGTGGATTAAAATTTAACCCGGCGAAAATGCATTTTTAGGTCAAAATCCAAAATGGCCGCCATTTTCCCCCCCAAAAAAACATATTAACTATGAACTTTTGAATAAATTCAACATTAATCGACCGTTTGAACCGAAATTTGGCTCAGAATGTGACTGGCGATAGATAAGCATGTGAGCAAAAGTTCACATTCGGGCTATTTTACGATTTCGACAAAATCCAAAATGGCGGCCATTTTTGCGTAATAAAAACGAGAAAACATAGTTTTAATTATTTTTCTTTTCATAAACGGTATATTTTTTTTTCAAACTTGGCCCCAAATGATTTTCAGATATTAACATTGCCCCCCCCCCTTTACACAAGGGAAAAAACACTCCTATTTAAATCTTAACCGCATTATGGCTTTGTCTCATAGCTAAGAAGGTAGGAGAAACCCCTATGTATTTTTAATGTTTACGGCTGATTTTCCTAAATTTTTGCCTGCATGTTTCTTTCACCAAAATCTACATAATGGCCACAACAAAATTTGTAAAATCCAATACTTCTTTCCCATTTTGCTCAAACATAATTTTCTGTATTCACTGTCCAAATGTTATTTTAAAAAAAGCAAATATGTTTATTTTTTGCTTAATAACATTTAATGATTTCGGGGTTCACCGCATATTTAAGTGAAATGTGGCCAATAGTGAATTAAGTCTACATTGCAAACCCTCCTCAAGTACAGTCTTGACTTATTTTAGAAAGAATAGGATAATTTGATGAATGTTGCCCAAGTGGCAGCTAAACCGGCAGTTCACTGACTAGTTTGTTATGCGCCTATGTTGGCTTCATAGCATTTGTATTGGAATATCCCAGGTTTTTTTTAAAAATATAATATCCCAGTTCACTAAACAAAGAG